AATTAACATAGAGTATTCCCCCCCCTTTTTTTTTTTTGCGAGGCAATCAGGGTTGAGTGACTTGCCCAGGGTCACACAGCTAGTGAGTTATCATGTGTCTAAGGCCCCATTTGAACTTAGGTCCTCCTGACTCCAGGGCCGGTGCTCTATCCACTGTGCCACCTAGCTGCCCTGAGTATTCCCCTCTTAGACTAAAAATTTGTTTTCTTAACTGAAATCTCATTCTTCCAATTTATATAACTTTGTACTAAGGTAAGTATTTCTTTCCTGCTTTGATGATTACATTCATCATCTATTTGCAGGCAATTATTTCAACTTTTGTTTGTCTGACAGCAGCCAAACTAGTCTATTCTACAAGCCTCTAATTAATGTTTAGTTATTCTATGAAGCCATGTATACATTCTGCCAAAACAAATAGCTGAAAAAAAATCAGTGAAACATCTGGTTATTTTCTCCATTTGACGTCAAACAAGAGGACTGACTCATTTTCCATCAAATTAACAATATTTGGGGATCATGTGGGCAGGTAATACACATCTTGTTTATCTATATGGCTGCATTTTCTGACAACTACACAGGAAATTCAGGGGGATATCATAGCAATGACTAATTTGCCTTTACCTTCCTTCCCTCTTGTGCAGTTTAGAAAAAGAACATTAACAACAAGTTATTAAATGGCACTTACAAAAAGTCCTAAAGTTCTGTTTTGTGGATGCTCAAAAAGTGATTTCATAAATGTGGAAATTTACAGTTAGCCTTTTTTGTGCTCAAGACATAACAGCCAATTTTGTAAAGTCCTATAGTAGGAATGTTTTTTTATTAGACTGTTAATTCACAATCTATAACATATTAACCTAGGAGTTTCTCTTTATTCTCTTTTAATAATCTTTAAGCTAAGAATTTGGTTTCTATTTATATTAGAATTTTACAAAAGATTGTCTCCAAAATCAGAAATAAAAATAGGGACAATAAAATAAAAATTACTTAACATCTATGATGCTTTTAGTACTATAATCCACAAATGATTAATGCAGGAATGTTACAGTTTTCTCAGTCTATCAAAGGATTTTTTTTAAAAGAAATTTTGTTTTCAGGAGAGGCAACTAGATGTTGTGGCTAGAGACTCAGCCTTGGAACCAGGAAGACATGAGTTCGAGTCTCTGACATACACTGGCTGTGATTCTGGACTCTCTGTGCTAAAGTTCTCTGTGCTCTAGGAAGCTCTCTAGGACTGTAAGTGGTAGAGAAGGCACCAACCCACACTGGAAGAGGGTGTTTCTTCATCCAGGGAATTCTCTATACCAATGAAACTAGAGGTACAGATCCTATCCCTCTGTTTTCAACAGATGACAAGTATCATGAACATGCAACGACATAAATTAGTTCAGTTTCTAACAGCCACACTAGCAGTTGGAATAAGTGAGCCAGCCATGAGGGTAAGCCAACCCGCTTTCATCAAATATTTACCATTAAGTCTAATATAACATCATGTTGATGGTAAGGAGTAAAAAGGAGGCTGTAACATTAAAGGTAGTAGTGAAAATGCAATGAAAGGCAGAATTATACCAAGAAAAACAGCATAACCCTCACACACAGCCCATTAAGAGAACAAAGGTGGACTTGATTTTATTTTTCTTCTCTCTTCACTTCCTGTTATTAAGGATCTTCTTTAGCTCATCAACTTATCCAATGTTCTAACTCTACTCCCTCCATTCTTAGCCTCTCTACACTCTCATTGCCTTATGCATTTCTTCAGTAGAATAAATAGAGTGGTATCATGGGAGGACAGATGTCACAAGGACATCTTAAAACACAGCGCAGAACATATCTACCAGCGAGAAGTTGCTCTCAGGGTAGCCCAGCATTCACATATTCCTTCAAACTCTAACCATAAAATTTCTCTTCTATGGCTCTCTCTCTTATTACAGCTGCAAAGACTGGAGCTACCATTTATCATTTCAACTGTAATGTCTCCAGAGTGATTGGTTTTCACTATCTACACTTTATTTTATACTCTCTTGTCTTATAATTGTAACCTAGGTATATATTTGCTAAAATGTAAACTCATTTAAAGTAGGGACTATGACTTGTACATCTTTTGTTTTTCTTACAGACACAGTAGGTGCAATAATTTAGAAATTGATTGATTCAATCACATGCCACCTAAACTTAAACACTGATATTCTTGTTCCCAACCAGTACCACTGTAGCTAGAGTTGCAAAACAAGAATGGAAATTGGGAGACTAGGATACTAGACTTTGTTCCATTACAAACTAATTATATGACCTTGGCCAAGTCAGTTCACATCTCTGTGCCTTTTTTGATAAAATGGAGGAGAAAAAGGAAGGATAGTCTACTATCTAATCTCTAAGGCCCCTCTTAGTTCTGACATTCTGATCCTATGATTCACCATATTAAAGGGATTTGAGATATATGGCAATCGTATCCAGACAACTCTGAGAACAGGTTGAAGGTAACAGGAATTACCAGACTAAACACAGAGGTGGCAGCTAGAATTGCAACAGGGAACAAATAAATATTCTCCAGTTCTACCACTGGTAGTAGAAATTACAAAAATAGAAGGTACTAAGGAAAGGGTTATTGGAAATAACGAGGGAGACAGAAGATGGCAAAAAATTCCATATACTCCACCCCCTTAGTTTATTTGAAACAAATAAAACACCAGAGGACTAAGAAATCTAGGTATGGGAACAAAGCAGGGGCGCGGAGGGGTGGGGGGAGGGCCCTGCACAGGACACATGAGATTGATAATGTGGAAGGAAGTGCTAATTATAGCTTGCAATGGGGGGGGTGCAATTCTTAAAAATTTGCCTCAATACTAAAACTTCTAGTTAATATTTTGCCTTTTTTCCACTATCAAAATTCCTTTTCTACTGCCTTCTACTCTTTAATTAAAAAAAAAAAAAACGCATTGTAAAAAGAGAAAAAGCTCTAAAGTAGTAAAAAAAATTTATCAAAAGGATTGTTTATTTTGTACTTGACAAAAATTAATAAAGCACAAAGTAACACTCTTAGAAAACATAATAAAAATATACATCTTCGATCTTTTTTTTCTTAAGACTAGGTCTCCCAGGCTGAAACATAGAGGTTACTCATAAGCTCAATACCACTACGAGGAGCTCTGACTTGCTCAGTTTCAATGTAGGCCAGTTTATCACTCCTTTGACACCCTGGTGGCCTCTTGTTCCCACCATACTGATACCAGACTTGACTGGCTTAGCTCTCAAAACTGCAGAGCTTAAGGGATCCATCAGGGTCAGCCTGTAGTCGCAGTGATTATAAGCATGTGATGCTACATCTTATAATCTAACTCTTCCCATCAGCTGTACCATGGACAGTAACTCCTTCCTTGCTTTTTTTCTTTAATCACTAAAATAAAACAGTGTAGAGATCACTAACAAAAGTGAATAGCATAAATTCTTAGAACAGGGATCATTTACTAAAATTTACCTAAAACTTAGAATTTTGAAGAGATAATTCAAAGTAAAACTGAAGTCCTGCTGGCTACTCTGGTAGCAAGATTACGTGTGTATTGTTGTTGTTGTTCAGTTGTTTTAGTGGTATCCAACCCTTCGTGACCCCATTTGGGGTTTTCTTGGCAAAGATACTGGAGTGGTTTTCAATTTCCTTCTCCAACTCATTTTAGAGATGAGGAAGCTGAGGGAAATAGAGTTAGGTGATTTGCCCACGGTGACATAGCTACTGCCTGAGGCCAGATTTGAACTCAGGAAGATGAGTCTCCCTATCCAGGCCCAGCACTCTATCTACTGCACCACCTAGCTGCCCATTATGTGTGTACAAACACGTAAGTATGCATCCCTACGTATACATACCACATATATATACACACACACATACATACTTCTGTCACTACTCTTTACCCTGTATCCTCTAGTTACAGAAAGCAAAAATAGTTCAATCATCAGATGATAATCCAGCCACTCCCCAACAACCATCTGGAAATGTTATAAGGCTATGGAGTTTCCCAGTTCATAATCAGAAGCTCCTCAAAGAACCTGTGAATGAAGATGTAGATTGGTATCTCATGCTCTTCAGCCATCATCTTCACACTAAAGGGTCTGTTCTTGGATGAAATCAGATACAAAAGATGTCTTATAGTAGGGGACACCAAGTTCTCTAGGACAAACTACACAGAAGCAAAGAAATCTGGAGTTGGAAAGGTCTTTAGATATATTTAGTACAATCTAATGCTTTTACAGATTAGGACATTTAGACCCATAGTCATTGTTGAGGCCAAATAATGGCTGTGGTGGGACTACTACCAGCAAGAATCAGCAGAACAAAAGGAGAAAGGAAAAAGAAATCAGGAGAATAAAAGGAAGATTAAAAGAAGAAAAGAAGGAAAAAAAGACAAAAGAGACCCACAGTCGAAAGGCAGTGGGCCACTAAAAGCTATCTCAGATGCCATTCCATTGTACCACTGTCTGAAAGTTGCCTATTCCTGCCCTAAAGAAAATAGATAATTTAATTCCCCACTCTACTAAAGATTTTTTTTTAATTACCAAATCAAAAATTTCAAGGAGTAGAATTCTTGGAGGAATACTATAATTGAATCTCCCACCTGGGGATCCTTTGGACAGGGAAGAAGGGCTATAATGAGATTATATACTCCCAAAGCTATTACAGAGAACTGCTAACTTGCCTAGTCCTGATTCAAAGTTGTTAACGCCATAAGAAAGTTTCTAGAAGTCAAAAAGCACTCCAGAAGTAAGTCTGATGTGTTTCATCGAGTATAGCTGCCTTTTTAGAAGAAGCTATAAATGGTGACAGAGCAAAACCAAGGCACAGTTCTGAACCTGTGAAATAATATAATCAAAATTAAATTTTTAATCTACACTACCCATAGGAAGGTTCACCTTGGGAAATGTGGGAATATACAGATCTTCATCTAATGACTACATGGTCAGAAAATCAAACGCAAACTCCATTGCCTGACACAGAGAAATATATACCATACCTCCTATTTTCTGCCAAAATTGCACCTTCATCCTTTAGCTGTTTACTCTTCTCTGCACAGTCTTCTAGGAGAATTGCTTTCTTTCGTTTAATTGCATGAAGCCAGTTAACGTCATCATTCTCCACTAAGCCCCTCTCATCAGCAGCTTCAGCTTCAAACTGCTGGGATGTGACTTTTGAGACCTTTTCACCAATTTTCCTCTTCCATCCAAAGGAAGCCATTCTGGAAAATTACAGATGACCAACTTTAATCATTTCCCTAAAACTTTAAGATTGCCTGGAATGGTGGTGAAGGATGTACTGAGAGTGATATCTTCAATAATGAAGAGCAGTGGGAGGAATGGCGGAGGGTTATGTGTAAGAATATTAAATCTGACAGTAAAGCCCCTAAGCAGACAACAGAAAAACATCTGCCTGCTACATTTCCTTCCCTGATGAGAATTTCCAAAAAAGAACAGAGACTGTGCTAGGCAAGGGCAACTAGACTGGAAAACTATGAGGTAAGATAGTGCTTCCCAGTTTGTTGGATAAGGACTCCTAAGGGGCCATTGAGCTATTTTAAGGGGTCTGAGAATTCATATGCATATCAAACACTCATTTTTCTCCTTTTTCAACTCCAACAAAAGATGCTGCATGAACTGTGATCCTAGGATCAAATGAGTTACACTTAGATTTGATGCTAAAATCTGAAAAGATTGGGAACCCCTAAAGTAAAGCATTGAGATCTGAGAGATTCCTAGAGAACTCTTGGCCCACTACAATGTGCTATTAGACCAAAGACTGGCCCTTAAAGCAACAGCTCATTTCACAGCCTGAGTTCTATTCAGTCCCAGATGGCTGATTCACAAATCGGTATTACAGATCATACTGACCAGAAGAGTGTTACTAGATCCATGTAACTATAACAACACTCTTAGAGTAATTCATGAATGTATGTCCTACTGATTGTAGATTAGTAGTGCCATCTTCATGTACAAAGAACAGCACACAGATTATTTTAATGTTATTTTTATTATCTTTTATTGAATGTGTCCTTTCCTCCCTCCCTACTCAGCAAATTATTCCTTACTTATAACAAAGATTTAAAAAGAGAAAAGACCAGCTTAGTAAATCAACCATATCTGACCATACATTGCAGTATATGCAAAATCCTACATCCATAGTCCTCCACCTCTGCAAAGAAGGGAGGGAGTAGTACCAGAACCAAGTAAAACTTAGACAAAAATAAGTTATTTATTATATTTCTAATAATATTATTTTGATTTTAATTAAACCAGATAGATCTGGCAACATTAAAAGTAGGCCCAAATTCAAAGAAAATATAAGCTGAGAGATCAGTGTCTTAACTTCTACATTTATAAAAGCTGCTTGTTCATTCCTTGGAAATATGTAAAAGACTAGCAAAATTACAGATTCAAAAAGCTCTAATGTTCTTCAAACATAGGCTTACATATTTTGACCACAAAAAATTTTCGTGTCAGTTAAAGTACATTTTTCAAAATAGCTTCTATGGATTAACATCTTCCCAATACAGCCACCCTGGAAACCATAAATGAATTCTAAAACACAAATGGAACGACTATATAAAATCTCAGGGTTCTAAAGGGTTCTAAAATTTGCTTAGTCTAAGCTTCTAGCCAACATCTGTTACTTTTCATTCAACAATAAATATCAGGTGCCTTTGGAGGATGCCAGAAGCTTACAATCTAGAGAATATTAGACACGTATAAATCATTATAATACAAAGCAATATACAAGTTCCATATGACTGGTTTGGATAACAAGTGTTTTAGGAATTTTACAACAGGTATGTGGAAAGGAAAAGTTCACTGGTATGATCAGGAAACACTCATGAAAGAGGTAACACCAGACCTTGAATGACAGATACAATTTCAATAAACATACTCTAACAACATTTTTTTAAATGAACAAGTCTGAAAGACTTAAGAACACTGATCTCATTTAACCAATGATCAATCATGACTCCAGATGACCAATTATGAAGAATGTCACCCACCTCTTGACAGAGAGGTCTAATGCACTAAATATGCAGAATAAAACCCATATTTTTGGATATGGCTAAGATATGAATTTGTTTTAACTATCCATATTTGGTACAAGAATTTTTTTCCCCACTGAGAAAGGATAGGAAAAGTTGCATTTTACTTGATAATTTTTTAAAGAAGAATTTCAATACCTGATACAATAGTGGACTGGGGCTTTCAAGATACAAAGAAAGGTATAAATGAATAATTTTTAAAATATATACACATGTATGTATGTATATACATATGCATATATATGTACATATGTGAATAATGAAGCTAAAAATATAAAGCATACTTGGGAAATAGTAGATTAGGGTGGAAAAATAGGTAGGGGATAGGCTGCATAGGTCTTTAATCAACAAGCTTTTATTAATTACTTAGTATGTGCCAGGTAAAAAAGAGTAATGGATTGAGGGCTGGCGTAGAAACCATGAAGATCCAGTTCAAGGCCCTCCTCTGACTCATACTGGCTCTGCGACTATGGGCAAGTCATTTAACTTCTCAGGGAGCAACGCACTAGTGATACTACGACAAAAATAAAACAGTCCCTGCCCTCAAGGAACTTACAGTCTAATGGAATTCCAAAAAGCTATAAACCTCACAAGGTGAGAGAAATTAAAACATCAATTTCTAATTATTTTAGCACTTTATAATTTTCAAAGCAGTTTTTTAACTAAAAGAATACCTAGGCATACTACAATTTTTTTTCTCCACTCTCGTACTTTTGGTTAATAAAGATTTTTTTTTTCAAAATAATACAATAATACTTCCTTAATTTCCAAAGAAACTCTGAACATCAAGGCCTTCGGCATTTACCGAATGCCACTAAAATACTAAAAAGGTAAGCTCCATGAGAACAGGCAGGATCTGTCTTGTGCGTTTCTTTGTATCTCTAATATTTAGCTCAAAGCCTGGCACAAGGTAGGTGTTTAATAAACATTTACTAGCTGGTCTGTCATTGCCCTGGAAGGTACCCTACAATAGTGCACAGTGGGCACTCGAAGTTACGCCTGATGGATATTTTATCTATTTATAAACTACTTTTTATTCAATGCTGAGGCTCTAGAGGGCGCAGCTGATCACTGCATTACCTAACCCCAAAACAGAGGCAAGAACAGTGAGCACAGCTCCAGACGCTCATCATCCTTTCATCCCTGAGGTGTGGTCAGACAGAGGTGACTCCGGGAAATGATTTCTCTCCTTTAAAACATAGAAAAGGCTCAGCAACTTTCCCCCTCCCGCACCCGGCGGGGGTCGAGGACCATGCAAAGCGTGTACATGGACGTCAGAAAGGGGGGGACTGATCCACTGATCTCACTCACCCCAGAATCCACCAAACCGCCCTCCGGGGCCCCAACACAGGCCCGGGGCGAGGGACACGAGAGCCCGCTCCCCCGCCTCCCATCTCCGGAGAAAGCGGGGTCCGCTAAGGGCCAGCAGGCCTCCCCCCTCAACCTCGGGGGGCCAACCCACAGGGAGTTCCCCCCACACGGCAGAAGGTCCCCCGGACTCCTCGAGATGTCTCCTCACCAAAGCCAGGCTCTCTCCGCCCCCACCTACCCAGGCCACCCCGAGAGCCCCGGGTTACCTGGCGACAGCTCCCTACAGTCAGTGTTTACGTTCCACTGCACTCCCATCCACCGGAAGCGGAAGCGGCTCCGCTCGCACTTCCGTCTCTCTTGAAAGAGCGAGGGAGGGGGAGTTGTTTCTTGGAAGCGTCATGAGGTCTCCTAGGAAACGGAGGTCGGATGCCTGCGAGCGCCAGAGCGGCCCCTGCTGGAGCTGTGGGGAATTCGTCCCGTGTGCGAGCTCTGCTGCTCAGAGCCGGAAATGCCGTACAAATGCAGCAGAATGCTTGGGCTCTGACTGTGCCCCTAATGTGGCCAAGCCCTGTCCATCCCCCTTTCATAACATCTCAAAAATATGCCACCTCTGACATCGCCACAACCTTAGTGCAGACCCTCATCATCTCAGGCCTGAATTACCGCAATAGTCAGCTGGTGGGATAGCCTGCCTCATGTCTCTCCCCACTCCTATGCACGCTCCACTCAGCCACCAAAGTGATTTTCCTAAAGCTCAAGTCTGACAATGTCAGCACCTTACTCAATAAACTGCAGTGGCTCCCTGTTCCCTCCAGGGGAGGCCCAGAACTCTCTCTTAGGAGAGCGTAGTGGTCAGACTCTGTCCTCCACTTCCTACTTCTCCTCCTGGCAGGAAATGAAAATCTCTCTTGGACGAAGGGTCAGGGGAGAAGAGGCTAAACTTCTCTGTTTTGCCTCCTTTCCAGCTACACAATGACACCCCCATGCTACATGTGGGAGATGGCCTCACTATATATATGTAGGAGTTCTGTAAGAATATAATTTCTGATTGCTTATTTTTGCAGGAAATTTTGGTTTTTTGCTAGTTTTGCTTAAAAAAAAAACTTTGGACAATTTTTTTTTTCTCACTGAACTGCTGTGGTTCAGTTCATTGTTTCTGAATGGTACTACTTGAGCAGTATACCTTTTTATCCCACATGGCAGACTGTTATTGATAACCACTCAATTCAATTCTATAACGCCCATTGTTTAGGCTTGTTTGTACTTTTGCTAGCTTGGAATGAGTTTAAATAGGAATTGTTTTCTACAACTAGAGTACCTGTAAGAGGAATCTCTAGAAAAGAAAGGAGCTTTTGCAGCTGAAAAGCTGCAAAGTGATACCACCAGTACTGAGCTCCAGTCACAGAACCTGAGACAATCCGATAAGAGATGGATCGATCAGTGCACAATCCTATTCTCCTTGGGGAAGTAGAGGTTCAAGAGGATGGAAAGCACAAAAGTCTAATAAAAGACAATCTTCATCAGGTAATCATCAGAGTAACAGATCAACTTTTTGTTATAATTGTAGACTAGATGGCCATACTTATATTGGATGAACTGGCAAAGAAAATGCAGCATTGGTCACGAAGAACTTAAAATCTGATCCAGCTTTGGGCAACCAGAGCAAAGTCAGGACAAGAGGACCACCCTGGGCTTCAAGGCCTGTACACTGACCTCATCATCAATTCCTTATGGGTCTATTCCACTTGAAAACATAGGACTTCATGCAGATTTGATGGTAGAAATTGAGAATGTGGACTACAATGCTGTCCTGGACAGTGAATCTTAAGTTACCATCATTTTCCAATCTTTTTATGACAAATGTTTAGGTAAAATACCTTTCAATCCTATGACAGGGCTTGGATTTGGTGGTTTGAGTGAAAAAGACTACCCATACTTGAGTATATCCAGATGAGCTTGAAATTTCTTAAGGAAGTTATTGAAAAAAGCGTACATTCTGGTTCTAGTTATATCTAGACTCTCCAACATCCACCGCCATGTCAGTACTGACTGGAACTAATTCAAGTCTTTTCAAAATTCTAGCAAGCAACAAACTGAGACCCAATACCTACACACTTTGACCATCCATGAAGATTGTGCAGAGGCTTACAAGAAGATACAGGCAAAAGGTTCTAGTGGACATCACAGGGCATGTGCATATCCCTCAAATGTAACCCAGCTGTCCTTTTGAGCATCCCCAGTTTGGCTAGTGTGTAGTTCACTGTGTCCCCTATCATATGAGAAGCCTCCTTGATTGGTCACCAATGTAGTCAAAAATGGTTAGACAAACTCATTGTTTTTTTTCTGCCATTTTTTTTTTGGCAACTCCTAGCTGTTGTCCCCAGTATGGAGGCCATGAACTGAACTAATGAGACTGGAAGGATTTCCTTCCCTTACTTACCTCCCTTTTACCACCTCCACCCCTCCCAAAAATGGATCTGAGGATGTTCGCGTCTGCTTTATGTTGCTTCTCCTTAGCTTCAGGTGCTGGTGGTGATCCCCACTGGACTGGGAATTAAAAGCCATTGCATTTTGGAGCCAGGAATGAAGAGAAATGGTGCCACCAACCAGCTTGGCATGGAAGGCCTGAGAAGCCAAGGTAGCTGGGACTCAAATCTAAGGGGAGTCTGAACTTGGAATTGGGTTTGTGCTCTAGGGGAACCAATTAAGCTATAAACCTAATCCTCTTCTCAGCGCCAGAGACTGAAGTGGAGCAAAGCAGGAGGGAGGGATTATGCCTCCTCCCAAGTATTGGGGAAATAAGTTTACATATTTGTGATTATACCTTATGAAATAAATATTCCCTTTGTAGAAGGCCCTGCATTATATATATGCAAAAAAAAACTTACTAAAAACCTATTCCTTTGAACTGTTGCTCTATCTCCTTTCTTTTATTGGTCAAAGGTATAAAAGAATAGTGTTAATTTTATTGTCTGTACTTCCTTATTACGTATTCATTCCTGAAGAGCCCTGGCATTTTGGCTTCTAGCCAGAGGTGTCCTGCAATCAGCTCTAACCAACTAAGTGATTTGTTAAATTTTCATTGGGAGCATTTACACCTAAGAAATCCACAGGAAATAACTACAAATCAAGACTTGATTTGTTTTGTTAATTGCTTAAAGTGTTAACAATGTAATAATTAAACTTAAAAGTGTGTGTGCATACATTTCCCCATCTCCCCCACCACTACCCACCAGCCCTGTTGTTAAGCATCAATCAGCACAGCTCTTATTGCCCTGTAAACATTGCTTGAGCTCAACAGGAGTGCCATAGAAGGCTCAAGGAATGAAATTGCCACCAGACAGAAGGCCTGAGGACTGAAGCTGATATGACACTAATTGCTGGCACTTATAGTATGCTTCAAGATTTTCCAAGTACTTTACATCCATTGTTTCATTTGAGCCTCACAATATCTCTTGTCCCATGCCCATCATTCTGCTGAAATTGTCCTATTAAAGGTTATTACTGACCTCCTAATCTGTAAATTGAGTGTCCTTATCCTAGTCCTTATCATCAGTGGATAGAGTGCCAGACCTGGAGTTAGGAAGACCTGAGTTCAAATCAGACCACAGACTCTTACTAGCTGTGTGACCCTGGGCAAGTCACTTAACCCTGTTGGCCTCAATTTCCTCATCTGTAAAATGAGCTGGAAAAGGAAAGGCAAACCACTCCAGTAGCTTTGCCAAGAAAACCCCAAAAAAGGGTAACAAAGAATCAGACATGACTGAAAAATGACTAAACAAAAAAAATAAAATAAATTGCAAAAAATGACTAAACAACAACAAAGCATTTCACACTGTTGTCCACTCCCACTTTTCTTTAAAAGCCTGTCTGGTTTAACTCCCTCCTCCTGATTCTCTTCTTAACTCTCTGATCTATCTTGCAGAATTTCTTTAAACGACTATACTTCTTCCTCCTCACACTTCACACAATTAGGTCATCGCTAAGATTTTCTCAGTCCTTTTACCTTCTTATACTTTTTACTTTGGCAATTTCATTAGTTCCCATACCTTTAGCTGTTACTTCTATATTATTGATTTCTAGTCTTTACCTTCACTGACAATATCTGAACTCCAATCACACATTTCCTACTGAGCATTTCCATCCAGCTATCTAAATGTCACAAATCATTATCTTTATACCTTTCTGCTCGTCTCCCCCAAACTCAAACCAATCCTTCTAACTTAACTATTTTTATAGAAGACAAAGAATATGCAAAAAAAAAAATAATGGTCACATATTGGGTCACAGCTAAAATGTAGGTAAATTTACAAAAGCATAGATTTTATAGATCATATTTTTAGAGCTTAGTTCAATAAAGTCAGTAGTAAATAAAGGCTCTATCTGAGGCAGCTAAGTGATAGAGTTGATAGAAAGCTTGACCTAGAGTCATGATAGAGAGCTTGACCTGGAGTCAGGAAGACCTGAACCATCTTAAGTGTCTGCTTCAGACACTTAATTGCTTGTGTGACCCTAGGCAAATCACTTAATCTTTGCCTGACTCAGTTTCCTTATCTGTTAAACTGGGATGATCATAATAACACATACCTACCAGAGTTGTTGATAGGCTAAAATGAGATAATGTTTACAATGCACTTTAAAAACCTTAAAGTGCTATATTATTATATAAAGAGCTCAATTATTATTGCAAACTTTAAAGTGCTACTATTGTCATAAGCAAAATAAATAAATAAATAATACTTGGATGAAAGAAGAAATAACCAAAAAATAACAGATTATATCAAGGATAATTACAATTCAGAGAGAACATATCAAAATCTATAGGATGTAGTCAAAGAAGTTCCATAGGCAAGTTTGTAATGAGCCCTTCAAGTCACCATTCTGCATTTGATAAAATAAATTATTTTTTAATTAAATTGAGAGTTCAAATAAATTTTCCCTTTAATAAAAACAAATATAAATATTCCCAGATAAAAATAGTCTCCAAGGTAGCTAAAAAAGTTAAGAAAGTAAAAGCAGCAAGCATGGAAATTGTCAAAATAGGTAACTACTACCCACTTCTGTTGATTTACATCAGTATGCCTGATACTCCAAAAGATTTCTAGAAAACATCATCAAAGATTATATGAATTCTTGGACAAGAAACTGAAGATCATAATCAACTAGATTGTCCTTTCAGAACCAAAGGTGATAAAAGGTAAGAAAACGTTAAGAGTGTATTTGTACAGACAGGCAAGAGAAAAGCTGATTTGGAAAGTGAACAGTTGGCTAAGAAGATAAGAATAGGATTTGGATTTCTGGACCACAGCTTAAAATACAGAAATGCCAGGTTCCTGGTCAGAAGTAGA